TTATGCTAAAAACCCTCAATAAACTAGCTATGGAGGGAGAATATCTCAAAATAATAAAAGCTGTTACAACAAACCCACAGCCAACATCATACGGAATGGGCAAAAGCTGGAAGCACTCCCTTTGAAATCTGGCAATAGACAACGGTGCCCTCTCTCACCACTCCTATTCAATACAGTATTGGAAGTTGCAGCCAGAGCAATCAGGAAAGAAAGAGAAATAAACGGTATTCAATTAGGAAAGGAGGAAGTCAAATTGTCTCTATTTGCAGCCAACATGATTGTATATTCACAACACGCGATGATCTCAGCCCAAAATCTCCTGAAACCGATAAGCAACTTCAGCGAAGTCTCAGGGTACAAAGCAAGTGTGCAGAAATCATAAGCATTTCTATACACCAATAACAGACTTAAAGACAGCCAAATCAGAATGAACTGCCATTCGTAATTGCTACAAAGAGAATCAAATACCTGGGAATACAACTAACAAAAGATGTAAAAGACCTCTTCAAGGAGAAATATAAACCACTGCTTAAGGAAATAAGAGAGGACACAAACACATGGAAAAACATTCCATGCTCATGGTTAGAAAGAATCAATATTGTGAAAATGGACATACTGCCCAAAGTAATTTATAGATTCAGCACTATCCCCATCAAGCTACCTATGACTCTCTTCACAGAACTGGAAAAAACCACCTTAAACTTCATATGGAACCAAAAGAGAACCTGCAAAGCCAAGACAATCTAAGCAGAAATAACAAAGCTGGAGGCATCACACTATCTGACTTCAAACTATACTACAAGCCTACAGTAATCAAAACAGCATGGTACTGGTACCAAAACAGAGATACACAACCAAGGAACAGAACAGAGGCCTCGAAGGCAACACGACACATCTACAGTCATCTGATCTTTGACAAACATGACAAAAACAAGCAACGGGGAAAGAATTCCCTCTTTAGTTAATGGTGTTGGGGAAACTGGCTAGCCATGTGCAGAAAGAAGAAACTGGACCCCTTCCTGACACCTTACATTAAAATTAACTCCAGATGGATTAAAGACTTAAACAAAAGACCTAACACCATAAAAACTCTACAAAAAAACCTAGGCAAAACAATTTAGGACACTGGCATAGGCCAGGACTTCATGACTAAAACATCAAAAGCATTGGCAACAAAAGCCAAAATAGACAAATGGGATCTAATTAAACTCCAGAGCCTCTGTACAGCAAAAGAAACAGTCATTAGAGTGAATCGGCAACCAAGAGAATGGGAAAAATTTTTTGCAATCTATCCATCTGACAAAGAGCTAATATCTAGACTCTACAAAGAACTAAAACAGATTTACAAGAAGAAAAAGTGCTCATCATCATTGGTCATTAGAGAAATGCAAATCAAAACTACATTGAAATACCATCTCATGCCAGTTAGAATGGTGATCATTGAAAAATCTGGAGACACCAGATGCTAGAGAGGATGTGGAGAAATAGGAACACTTTTACACTGTTGGTAGGAATGTAAATTAGTTCAACCATTGTGGAAGACAGTGTGGCGATTCCTCAAGGACCCAGAAATGGAAATTCCATTTGATCCAGCAATCTCATTACTGGGTATATATCCAAAGCATTATAAATCGTTCTATTATAAAGACACATGCACAGGTATGTTCACTTCAACACTGTTTACAATAGCAAAGACCTGGAACCAACCCAAATGCCCATCAATGATACACTGGACAAGGAAAATGTGGCACATATACACCATGGAACACTATGCAGCCATAAAAAAATGCTGAGTTCTCGTGTCCTTTGTAGGGACATGGATAATCTGGAAACCATCACTCTCAGCAAACTGACACAAGAACAGAAAACCACACACCACATGTTCTCACTCATAGGCGGGTTTTGAAGAATGAGAACACATGGACACAGGGAGGGGAGCATCACACACAGGTCTGTTGGGCGGGAACGGGGAGGGACAGCAGGAGGTAGGGAGGTTAGGGAGGGATAACATGGGGAGAAATGCCAGATATAGGTGATAGGGGGATGGAGGCAGTAAACCACATTGCCATGTAGTTACCTATGCAACAATCCTGCATGTTCTGCACATGTACCCCAGAACCTAAAGTGCAATTAAAATATATACATATATATATATATATATATACACACATATATATATATATATATATATATATATATATATATACATATATATATATATATATAACTTTCTAATCTCCAGCTGGAGAACTAAAAATTATAATGATTAAGTGTAATGTTTTTGAGTTGGTCAGATATAATTTGAAGGCCAGCTTTACGATATGGTGTACACACTTGGGTAAATTACCTAACCTCTCTGAGCTTCAATTTCATCTTGAAAATGAAAACAGGGCTGTTTTTCAATTGCTGCTAGATTGAGGGAGATAATCTGAACAATGTCTTATTTTTCTTAGTATGCTCTCACAGTATACCTCTCAAAGTCAGCAAATAATAAATGTTTATAAAATTAACTGGTTTCCTGCAACCAGAAATTCACCATATGAAGAATATATTCAAAGCAATTTCCCCTTTTCTAATTGGAAAATTTGTCTGCTACTTCTCCTAAAGTTGAAGTTTAAAGTATAATATTAGAAAATATTCTAATTAGATATAAAGTCATTCTCCTATTGAAAAGGGAAACGTTATTTTTTAAATTATAAAAACATTTACAAATCCTTAAAAGACTACTACTTGTCATATAAAAATAAGTAACTGATTATGAGAGATGTTAGGATGTAAGAATTAAGAAACCAGGCAAGTAAACACTAAGCAGTGTTTTTAAAAAGGTGGTATGTGTCCCAATATGGAAAGATGTTCAAGATACATCTAAGTAGAAAAAATGCTGTAGAATTGTATGTATGGTATAATTCCATTTGTATTTGTGTGCTTTTAAAGGTATAGAAATGAAATTTGTGCACAGGAAAAGTTTTTAATTTTTAATCAAGAATCTTAATCACATTCTGTAGTAATATAATCAGAAAAGCCAAATCATTGTTAAATTGAAATATTTTTGTAAAAAGTATGTTAAAACTAATAGAAAAAAAAATGGTAGATTTAAATCCCTAAGTGGCACTAAGCCATTATTCAAGGGATTTGATTAATGTCGTCACAAAAATAAACTCTTGCTTAAATGTTGTATCAGTGAAGTGGAAGCTCACTGATTAGACAAAGTATTTGCTTACATATGTAAATGACACTTAAAAGTATTTTCAAAATGCTTAGTGTACACATTGACATAAACACTGAAATTTTAACTGGAGAAATCATTGATTTATATTACCATTAGAAAAACATTTCTTTCTATTACCTTTTATTGTAAATGTGACCAACCATATGAAGAACTAATACACTTTTGAGCTTTTTATAAGTGACTAAAGTGACTTGGGTATAGTGATACCATATCCTGGTGGCTGTTTCCCAATTGTCTTAAAAGTAGCATAGAATATTAAGTGCTTGCATTTGAAACCAAGACTACAGGAAAGGCACCCCTCTCTTAAGAGACTTTCTCCCAAAGTGGGCTTTTACATAAATAGAGTAAGTTTTAATACACAACATCCTTATTTAGATCAGAAAACATAAAATTTTCTCTTATGTTCAAAAGGTCACAATGGTATCTACCATCATATTAAATTTTATAAAATAAATATGCAATCACCATTTTACCTAGAAGAATCTTTACTTGCTATGTTAATATTAAATAGCATTTTCATATGAACGAACAATAGATCAGAAGATAGATATAGACACTACTCCTGGCTCTGACACTTGCTAGTTGAAAACTGTGGGCAAGCCAACGTTTCTGACCCATGTTTTCAAATCTATAAAACAAGATGGCCTCGCTAGATTGCCTCTAAGCGTCCTTTTCCACATGTGAAAGTCTTATTTTTATGACAGGGAAAAATTATCAAGAAACATTGTCTTATTTGGTAATTCTTTTTAAACACAGATGAATAAAAAATTATTGCCCCCTGGCAGGAAATGTGTTAGAGCAGAAATACAATAAATTTATAGTGAGAAAAGGTGAATTGCAGTACTGATTCAACAAACAAATTATTGATTTGTGACCATGAATAAGTCATTCATACTGAGAGTCCATGTTTTCATCTGTGGAGTAGGAATACTGATACTATTTACCTTACCAAACTGGAAAGAACTATATAGTTATAGTTTTTAAGTAAAAATTCTTTTAAATTTAGAGCTACATCTCCATAATTTTTGACATTCAAAAAGCTATAAATATGTAATGTATTCTATTATTATTTTTATAGAGATGGGGTTTCACCATGTTGGCCAGGCTGGTCTTGAACTCCTGACCTCAGGTGATCCACCCGCCTCAGCCTCCCAAAGTGCTGGGATTACAGGTGTGAACCATCGTGCCCAGTCCAATTATTTTTTTTTTGAGACAAAGTCTTATTCTGTCGCCCAGGCTGAGGGCAGTGGCACGATCTTGGCTCACTGCAATCTCTGGCTCCTGGATTTGAGCAATTCTCCTGCCTCAGCCTCCAGAGTAGCTAGGGATTACAGGTGTGCACCATCATGCCCAGAAAATTTTTGTATTTTTAGTAGAGTCAGGCTTTCACCATGCTGGTCAGGCTGATCTTGAACTCCTAAGCTCAACTGATGCACCTGCCCTGGCTTCCCAAAGGGCTAGAATTACAGACCTGAGCCCCTGCACCCAGTCTAACATACTCAATTTGATGAGTTTGGAGGAAAGTAATCACTGAAATCATCACTATAATCAATACCATAAACATATCTATCATATCTAAAAATTTCCTCCCATTCTCTATTTTTTGTGATAATACTTAAAAGATCTATCCTTTTAGCAAAATTTTAAGTATATAGTACAGTACTATATTAAATAAAGGCACTATATTGTATAGATCTCCAGGATTAAATTATCTTCCCCAGCTGAAATTGTGTGTCCTTTGACCAACATTTCCCTGTTTCCCCTTCTCCCCTGCCCCTAGAAATCACTGTTCTACTCTCTGCTCCAATAAGTTTGACTAATTTTAGATTCCTCACGTAAGTGTGATCATGCTTCTGTGTCCAGCTTATTTCACTTAACATAATGGCCTCCAAGTTCATTCATGCCATTGCAAATTGCAGGATTTCCTTCCTTTTTTTCCCTTCTTTTCTAAGGCTGAATAATATTCCATTGTATCTACCACATTTTCTTTATCCATTCATCTGTTGATGAACATTTAGGTTGCTTCCATGTTTTAGCTATTATGAATAATGAATACAATGAACATGAGAGTTCAGATATCTCTTTAACAACCCAATTTCAACTTCTTTGGACATATACCCAGAAGTGAAATTGCTGGACCATATGGTAGTTTTATTTTTAATTTTCTGAAGAATTTCCATACTGTTTTCAATAGTGGCTGTACCAATTTACTTTCCAACCAATAATGTACCAAGATTCCCTTTTCTCCATATGCTTAGTATCTTCTGTTTTTCTGATACTAGTAATTCTAACTGGTGTGAGATGATATGTCATGGTGACTTTGACTTGCATATCCCTGATGACTAGTGATGCTGAGCACCTTTTCATATACTTGTTGGATATTTGCTGATTCTTAACTGCTCTATGATAGAAAAGAATGTTAAAGAAGAGACAGTTTAATTTTATGTAGAATTATTTAAATTGTGTATGCCCTCCACTGGAGAGCTGAACTTTTTATTTTGCATAAAATATGTGTTTCAGAATATACTATCTTTTTGTGGTAATATATGGAAAATTGATCAAGCACTCTCTCATTTATAATTTTCTAAACAAAATTCATTAAATATCAATTTACTCTCCTTGAAAAATTCTGAAATATAGCCTTAATCAGATGACTAACTTTCATAGTAGTAGTAAAATTCCCTTAGTCCACTTTGGTTTGTTAAGCCAATAATCTAAATATGTTTACCTTTGGTAGCATGGGAGTATCCCTCTTCTTTTTCTTTTCTGAATTAGGGTCATCTAATAAGTCTGGCTCAAAAGTATAAAGTTCAGTAAGCTCATTCATAGTAAAATGACGCTCAACCTGCTGCTGATCAACAACTCGAAAAGACAGTGACTGCTTAGTTACTTGCCGATCATAAATCTTATCTTCCATGGTCCCCTTAGTAAAAAGAAGGAAGAGTATACAAAAAAATTAAATTTTGTAAGCATAAAAGTTAATCAAGGATAAACACTGGTTAATATAAAATGGTAAAACTTCATGGTAATATATTGCCATAAAGAAAACCTCATCAGCAATTTTGCTTAATCCATGAAAGATTTCATCTGTGTAGCATAGTATATCACAACAAATAAAATTACATTATTGATAATCATTCTATATTATCTGACCAAAATGCATTCATGTGTTGCTTTATATATTTCTGTACTCGGTAGTAGAAGGATAGCAGGCAGATACCAGAGTAAACAAAAATAAAGGAGCACACACAGAAAACATTTAGGTAAATATTGAAGTTAGAATGCAAGAGAATAGTCTGATTCTTTTTCAATGTAATATAATAAGCTATCAACAAACACTATAAACTGCTTTTATATCAAGTCTTATTTGCTATAATTTCAAGACAGAAAACTAATATAAATTCCATATCCATTACATATAAACTACATTAGATTAAATGTATACATAAATTATATTAAATGTATATTAAATATAATAAAATTACATTATAAATGAGAATGTAAAGAAGTTCTAAACTTAAATAACAGGTAAGAAAAAAGTAAAGGGCTGGGCATGGTGGCTCATGCCTGTAATCCCTGCACTTTGGGAGGCCAAGGACAGCGGATCACCTGAGGTCAGGAGTTCGAGACCAGCCTGACCAGCATGGAGAAACCCCGTCTCTACTAAAAATACAAAATTAGCAGGGCATGGTGGTGCAGGTAATCCCAGCTACTTGGGAGACTGAGGCAGGAGAATCACTTGAACCTGAGAGGCGGAGGTTGCAGTGAGCCAAGATTGTGCCATATCGCTCCTTCAGCCTGGGCAACAAGAGCTAAACTCCGTCTCAAAAAAAAAAAA